GTGAAGAGATTCATAAAAGGGCCATCAGCAAACTTACAAAGGAATTACATTTAGGAAGGCAATCAATATTCTGGTTGGATAGCTGACAGTACACTGCCACTTAAGACCAGATAGGAATACAGACAGAAGAAACACCGTGCACATACTGCCAGGAAGAGGAGGAGACCGCACAACACATTTCATGTTTCTATGAAGGTCTGTGTAGGTGCATGTTCTTGCAAGTAGGAGAAGAAAAACAGCAAGCAAGATCTTTTTGCAACCAAGACAGGAAAAATTAAAAGCAACATCCTACACTAAAGAGCCGCTGGCAAGGCTATGGAGGTTGATTAACAACGTGAAGATGGCCGGTGAGTTATAAAAAAAACAGGAGTACAATAGATCTAATCAGGTCGAAGTGGAGAAGGCCTTGTGGCCGCCTCTTTCTATCCTTATCTCTATCCATAACTGGCAACACAAATATACAGACATACATATATACATGTAGGTCTGGTGGACATGAAGATAATACTGCCAAAAATAACCCAATTTTCTTATAACCTAATTCGTAAATAATTATTAGCACCAAATATTTCGAATCTACGATAAACAAAATAAAAGACGAGAAGAAGATAGAATAAATTTATATGATGTTTACAAAGAAATAATTCCATAAAAGGTTAAGTACAAGGCAAGTTGAAATCTCTGTCGATAGATGTCGATCGGGGAGAATTTTAAATGATTCGTGGGCAGTTTCCATCGGATAAACGCCATTTCAAACGGTATAGAGACAAAATTTAAATTGGGGTATAAGCAAGAGTAATTTTCCAGATGACAAAGAGCTTGATCATAGCAGATGTCCGTTTTAATGAAGGAGGCCATTACCGAAACCCTATTCGACGTTGACAGGACGAATTTCTCCAAGAAATATCGAAAAACGTTTATTATTGAATAAACAGCACATAGCCGATTAAATGTACTAATGCGTAAATAAAATAAAATACAATTAAACATTAAAAAAGAAATTAGTGACCTACCATTTAATTGGCTATTAAGGTTGGGCCAAAGCCCGTGCAGAGGCCCCTTATGCAGAGAAAGGTCGTTCGATGTGTCCCACTTAATAGAAGTTTGTCATGCCTTGACTCCTTATAGAAAGCGAGTAGGCTGCCGCCAAATTTAATATATATACTACTACTACTGCTATACTCTCACTAGCGACCCAGCCGGATAACGGTGTAGGTGTATCCTAGAATAGCACAGAAATATAAAAGTAAAACCAATTAACGAACTAAAATAAAACAATAAAATTATCACACATAAATATAAAAAAAAGAAGTTTATTGATTTAAAGAGGGCCACATCAACTACAAGGTTAGGGTTCATATAACCTGTCGGTGTCTTTGATAAAAAAAGCCCTTTTGTAAGGATGGAATTCAGAGACCCTGGATTTGAACTTGCGACCTTTACCTTAATGTCATAAGCCGCCGTGTCAACGTCCTGCCAGGTATCTTTAGCATATTGTACTAAATTCTTTCAGCATTAATATTTAAGTTAGTACTACATTAATTTGCTTTCAGTTTCAGTTATTCAAGTATTCAAGCTTGAATTCAGCCAGAGTTGAAAAGACTGCGACAATGTGATACAATATCGTTCTCCCAGTCCATTAGAGTGGATATTGAATTTTATTTTGATTGATCTGCATATTATTTAGGTAAAGCAGTTCTCTTCTAGCTATAGTTATCCAATGAAATTTGTATTTATTTTATTATTATTTACACAATTATTTTTCAGTATTTGCTGTGTAAAGTAGGATTATAACTCTTCCTTATATCTATCCACTAATTTGAAAAATTTAATCTTAAACAACACTAAATTTATATCTAGTTTATTATTCGTTATTATAGAGTAGGCAATGTAAGCGCTCGTTTTAATCTAAATCTTCGTAAATATTTAATATGTAATTTTAATGTGTAATAGAGAACGTGAGCATTACTTTGGTTTCAAGTTATAAAAACATGTCTGGTGTACTATTTGAAGGTGTTTTTAAATAAAAAGAAATATTAATTCAACGTCTTTGTGTCAAGAATATACTTGTATTCCTCATAACAATAAGTAGAACTGTTTTTTATTAATTAGAATAATTGATTGTTTTGATGACAAAGGGACATGTTTATTATATATTAAGTTGCTATCAAGTTGCTAAAGGAGTTAAGCTCAAATTAGGCCTTTGAAATTCTGCTATTGAAATGCGTAGCTATAGATAAACTTTCGGTGAGTTTGATACCGAAGTAGTTAAGGTCTCAACTTCTACATTTACATTATTAAGATGTCATTTTTGGCTTCCTGCAGCTCTAATTTTACTTCGGCTAGATGAACTTTGACATGAAACGGAATAATGTCGAAAATTATTTCTCTAAATAACTAATGTCCAATAGCCCAGGTTTATTGAACTAAAATGTTTTTATTAATTACAATTTAAATGAATATTTCAGGAAAGCACTACTGTGCGTAGCAACAAATTTTTCTCTTTATATGTACAATTGAGAGGCGGAATGATTGTGTGTGTGTGTGTGTGTGTGTGTGTGCGTGCGTGCGTGCGTGCGTGCGCGCGAGAGAGAGAGAAATAGAGAGCGAGAAAGTGAGAGAGATCTTGGAGAGTCTATCATTCGTCAGAATTGGCTCTTATTGCGAAAAAGTAATCCTGGTTTTACATAAAACATTGTTTATTAAATGCTTAAAATCCACAAAGGATTTATCTAAGCCGAAGACTTTCTCCCTCCAATGCATAAAATTCTAACATAGGTCTAGCCCTTTCGTCTCATTTTTGCAGACTTTCGCATTCGAAATACAACTTTCAACTGTTCTAACTCGACTCTGGCCACAGTATAGTACTAACTCTGAACTGTAACTGACTCGTGAACAACTGACCAATGTTACTCAACTAGTAACTGCCTATTCCGGACGAGAGTCGACCTCTGACTAATGATTACCAGTTTAGTAGCAACTACCTATTGCAAGCTACCCCAAAGGGCTCTACGTAGTACTTTCATCCCCATAGCAGCTACAGCCCTCTGGCTTTACCATTTTGCATTTTTTATGCCTTCTTCCAGAAGGCAAGGCCAAGGAAAACACCAAACGTGTTGCTTCAACTTTTACATCTCTTCATTCTAATCGTTAATACAGTTAACAACAATCTTTACACGATTAATTATTAATTAGTTACAATAGTTATTAGCAACACAAACATAGTTTTCTCAAGATGTTTTTGAATAACCAAAGTTCTGACTATAAAAGAAAGTATACAATTTCAATTAATTATTCTTTCTATGTAGTCTTGGTTGACATTAAAAAATCAGTGTCATGAGTGAGATTCGAACCCACGACCTTCGGCTAAATACGCCGCTACGTCGTGTCACCATAGCCGAAGGTCGTGGGTTCGAATCTCACTCATGACACTGATTTTTTAATTGTCAACCAAGACTACATAGAAAGAATAATTAATTGAAATTGTATACTTTCTTTTATAGTCAGAACTTTGGTTATTCAAAAACATCTTGAGAAACGCCGCTGCTCTACCACTTGAGCTACTCGTCACTCTCAACACAACACGCAAGAATGGCACAATTACACATAAAACAAACAATTTGAGCCCTGAAGATGATCTCAATAAAGATCGAAACGTTGGCACTATAAAGAAAATGTTTTTCTGAAACCTACATCATACCAGACCGCATCTCACGATTTCTGAATAAATATAATTAACTCCCATTTGTCTGATTAAAAAATCTATTAAAACAAATTATTCTTCCTGAAATGTTTTTCTCCTTAAAAAAAGAGCCTTTTAACGACTTATATTTTTTGACAAGAAATTTGCTGTAGAATAGAATATATCATACATGCAAGTTAATGTTTGCGTAGTTTTTCACTTTCCTTGGTAAATTACGAAGTATTAAAGAATGTACGAAATAAAACTAAACTTTAGAGGTTTATCTGATGGTATTTTGGTCTTTAACGATCACCCTGGTATATCGTCACTAAATTAAAAGTTAACTTGGCCAATTTCTTCCCATTTATTAATTAAACAACTCGACATCCTCATTTTTATATTATATATTTCTATGGGTCGAAAGACACTTATGTTTTTAAATCCTGTGATCGAAATAATAAGAAAAGATAATAATTGCATATGTCAGGCATTGAGTATTGTAATAAAATAGATAGGGTTTATAATTTACAAAATAAATTAAAGGAAAAATAAATTTAACCATTTTTTTTTGTTGTACACACTTTTTATATTAGTTTATCCACACTGACATATATTAAAGTTACGGCAGATTCAATGAACACCTTAATTAAGCCCAATGTTTCTTATCGTGACTTAATGTATGTTTTTTTATATTAAAAAATTAAACGGCCAATAAGGTCGGGATTGAAATGAATAAAGTTTGGAAATAAATTAGAGAGCCAGACCCTAACGATGTTATTATTCCGTTGGAATCTGTAAATTAACTTTTTCCTACTTTCCCTTCTCGCCCTAGGTCTTTTTTTCACCTGGTGAACTAACTTCCCCCCCCCAAAAAAAAAAAAAACCATGAGACCGGGTTTTCGTCTCCCCTATTACTTTCTGTGGACAACGTTCATCCCTCTCGATCCCAGCAGGAGGGCGGCGAGGGTAAGTGACTCCATCCATGGGACCGTTTATTAGACTGGTAAGTACAAAATTTATTGTTAAGGCAGTAAACCGTGATCGTGACGGGTGGGATGGGCCTCTGGCTCTCTTCTAAGGGGTGGCATTAGGAAAATGGGTAAACTTCAGCCCTCTTTTTCCATTTGAGCGTGGAAGAGAGTTTAAAACACCTTAAGAACCCCGGTGATTCAATAATTCTGTTCTTGCCGTTTTCGCGCTGAGATTAAAATCTTGAGAAAAAATTGCCCGAGGGGATTTTCTACTCGAATTTTTGTCTTCTAATTTATAGAAAATATCACGAGACGATTGGGCTTGATTATAAAAGTGAAGTGCGTACCTTGTACATTCTTGAACTGAGATCACTGCTGAGGGCGCAATCAAAAGCACAAAAAGACTCAGCATCGCCCCAGCTAAGTCCTTATCATTTTTCTGCAAAAAAACAAAATAAAAACAACATTACATGATTTTGTTCCGTTCTATTTGATCTTAAAATTATATAATAAAACATTTAGAGATAAAGAAACAATAAATTCTACAAAATATTATTGACTAAAAATAAACCTCTTAGTAACGACAGACAAGTTTGTATACTAATATATATTGTCAAAAATGACTACTAAAATGGCTAGACATACAAGAAAAAGAAACTAAGCATAAAGCTGTTCAAAAATCAATGTAAATAAAAAAAATAAGAAACATAAAAAAAAGAATTATTAAATAGGAAAGGAAAATCAATCAAAGAAGACAAGCACGCGCACACACACAAACACAAAACGAAACAATATAAATCAATCTTTTTATGGACGGTTTCGGTAGAAATGAAAAAGTTTGTGCCACGAGCGGGATTCGAACCCACGACTCAGCTCAATACGCAGCTACGTCGTGTCACCATAGCTCAAGTGGTTAGAGCAGCGGCGTATTGAGCTGAAGGTCGTGGCACGAATCTCGCTCGGGACACTAACTTTTACATTTCAACCAATACATTACGTAAAGATTAATTAATTGAAAGAAGTTATTGTATATATTGAAGGCGTAGATCCGCAACGGTTTAGGCGTTGAACGGCGCTCATCACTGTAAGGCAAAGGTCCCGGGTTCGAATACAGCGGCCCTGGTGAGCAACCGAGGTATTCGATGTTCATTCGTCTCATTCCCACAATATCCTATATTCCGGCGAACAGCCTGTTTTCACACAAACTAATTCATTTGTTCATTTAAAATAAGAGACGTTAATGTGCCTGGGGGCAGATCAGACTCATTCACCCGTCATAAATATTGAAATAAGTTCTCCCGATAGTTTCTGCGAATCATGAAAATTCCTTTGATCCAAGGTTAAGTTAAACTGCTATATACCAAATTCTCGAACCGTCGCACTCTGAGCATAGTATTTGTCGAACTGATGTCTACGTGCGAGTCCGCTTGTTAAAATGCATGGAATGTTGAAATTCCCTAATTATCTTCAAAATAGTGATCAGGGAAAATGAACAAAATGCAATAAACTAGATGAGATAAAATATAAAAATAAACGGATAGTAAATCAGCTGAGAATGGGTCAGAACCTTCACAAAACTTTTACCAATCACAAAATTCAAAAGTAAACAAAAAGTAATATTATAAAAAAAAGAGCAAATTTAGTAATGTCTACCAGTGGTACTCTCAGATGGTTAAGCCCTGATATAACATGTTTTATATTCAACTCGAAGGAAAAAGAGATATGGCAATTTATTAAGCAAGGTATGGAAATTGGTGAACGCATAGTAGTTATCGATCCTGGAAACCTCATTGAACCATGCAGACGTCCCAATAATTTCAGGGTATCTTGTGATAGAAAAATCGCTTTTATTTGTGTTGAACATCTTAAATGAAAATTTTATAAAACAACAAAAATCTGTCCATTGTGTTATTTTCAGTTTAAACTACCTAAAATTTAATTGAAAAAAAAATTTAAGAAAATTTGAATCAAACCCGACTTATTACCCGAAATATCCCCCGACTAAGAATAGGCCAGACTAGGTTGATACACGGATGCTTAGTTTAGGGCTAAATCTCGCTATTGTGCCCAGCAAAAAAATTGCTTGATCACAATTAATTGAAGAGTATAGTTGGCACTATATAAAACGCGAGTACGCATGCCACTTGACGTGATAATTGTTCTAGAGCACTGCCGTGAGTATTTGGGTCTGGAAGAAATCGGGCTGTTTAATTCCAGGTAGTATTAATAGACATCTCATTTTGTGTTCCCTGTTGTGTATATTGAGAATGAATGTATTTATTAACGTGAATGTGTAGAGCGAGAGGGCCTTTGGCGGAATATACTGAGTACGACATAGACCCTCTATATGGTTAGTTGTATAATAGGTGGCTTAATGGAAGAATATCAAGTACAGCACCACCCTGAGTCATGCTTTATCATGGTGAAAGACTAGCTGTTGATAGCCACTGGAGTCAAACTGGACATACCGAGGTCTGATCCCGAACTACCAATACCCAATATATGTGATTCCCGTGGCTTGCCGATTGAATTTTATTATTTAAAGAAATAACTTTTAAGGTTTAGAGTGCTTTTATTGTATGTAAACATTTGTTTCTTAAAAGTTATTTAGCTAATATTTTGAATAAATAATCGAAAGTTTTATTTGATATTTTATTTCATTTTTTGTAGCATTGCCTGTCGTGTTCGCGCTGACGAAGCTCGTGTGTTTGAGGCGAGCCGTCTACTGGCTCCAGGTCAAGTCGGACTTCTACAAGATCAGGCGCTACGTCGAGAACTCTTGCAAGCAGTTGGCGAAGGCAAAGTCAAGGGCGGCAAAAAGGGCCCAGCTTGTCGGGAGGAAGATCAGCGGTTCCATCAACGTCGACGAATGCATGGACGAGCTTTTCGAATCTGCCAGGGGCGTCGCCATCGCCATGTCGCCCCCTGAGACGGACGTCGAATTTCTCACATATCTGTCAGTCGTGATCTCCGCACACATGATAAACACCTACGCGAGCCTGAGTTCCAGCTCCAACCCGCAGCCGGACGTGGAATTCGAAATCGCTCACGCAATGGACGTCTGCGCTAACGCCCTGAAAAGGATCATCTTCTTTGACGAATTGCTCGCCATTCAAATTTCCCTAGCATACCAACTCGTAGTAGTTTTTCTTATGTGATTTTGTCATTTTAGAAAAACAAAATAGTTAATTAAATTCATAAGCTGATTTTATGTTTTTTTTTTGGCAACAACAGCAAGTTGAAAGAAAAACAACATCTACAGCACAATTTCGGGACTTTTAGTGCTATTTCATAACTTCATCAGAAAAGTTTCTTGAAAATTAAAACTTAATGAAACAGCCAACTATAATAAAATAAAGGAAAATATAGTGAAATGACCTTTTTGACCAAAAGAATAACAATGAAAACGCTATTTTTCCTAATATCTGAATACTTGAAACAGCAATTTTTCTTGTGTTTAAACAATAAAAATCACATTTTAACATGAATTTTAAAGACAATACGGTTAAAAGATAAATTCACGCTGTGGAAAAAAATGTGCGCTTTCCTCGAAGATGAAAATAAACCGTTTTGGCTTGTCTTAAACATGCTGTGCTTGACAAAAAGCCGAGGGATTTTATGATTTTCCTTAAAAAATTACAAAGGGTTTTGTGAAAAAGACGTGGTCCCAAGGGTCTCGCTCCGCTTCCATGTTATTTTGTTGTTATTTTATTAAGTCAGGAACAGAAACGAGTTTAGGCCCTTCCATGTCAGGGTTTAGTTGAAACCAAACCATTCAGACTTGTCACAATGTCACATTTTACATTGACACGAGGTTTGATCGGAAAGAAACGTATGTTATATTAATGTGAAAAACGTATTTTTGAACTATGATGTTAACATTTTCTTACTTAAATAAATAGTGAAAGTGTATTTAAAATATTGATGAAGAAGAATTCGACCACGTCGATTAATGTGTTTCAGGTCAGGTAGAATAATAAGTGATCACTTGCCAAGCTTTCGGCCTTTATAAGACCATCATCAGGGCCTGAATAAATTACATGATTACATTAAGTATAAGTTTTTTGGTTTGTTTTAACTTACAGCATCCTATTTCTCATAATAACATTACAGAATTATGATCAAACACCACGACCTCGACTACGATTACGAAATTAAGAAATTAAAAACGAAATTTAAAAAAAGTACATGAGGTTGGTTAAGTTGAAATTAAGACTAATTTTTTCAGTTTTGTTTCTATAATTGATGTAAAACTAGATTAAGCCAACAATTTCAATAGTAAAGTAGGTCGTTTTTTGAAAGGAATACCAAGGATAGTGATCTCCTCAAAATTCAAGTCAAGTCGATAAAGAAAACGTTATGCGTAGGAGGTAATTCACTCGTTTATGTTGGTTTAATCTCGTTTTCAACCTTTATTCAGGCCCTGATGATGGTCTTTAAAGGCCGAAAGCTTGGAAAGTGATCACAGAGTTTCTCTACCTGACCAGAAACTAGATCCCAAACACATTTATTTACATTTATTTACAGTCGACTCTCGATAACTCAAATTAATAACTCGATTTTTTTGCAAATCCCCCTCGTTCTCGTATGGTTGCCCACATTTTTACTTCTATGAGTCGAACATTAGAACAATTAGACAAATTTTCTTTCCGACCAGTGCTATTTCTTTGCTTTTTGGGCTCTCTTAACAGTCCTACACTAGTTAGCGCGCGGTACAGTTCACGCTTATTGGGCAGTTTTATTTTGCCAGTTCGTTCTAGGTTACGTGTTAAAATTAACCAAAACTTAACCATCATCGGTGTTCAATTGTAGGGACTGGATGTAGTAAAAAGACACCCCTACAACTAAATTTCCTTTACATTTTGCACTTAGGTCTTCGAGCCTCTTAACGAGGACCCAAAGAGTTTTATACTTGGCTCTGGTTAATAATGCTGGTTTTGCCCGATGCCTTTTATTTTGGGTCAAATTGTCAAAACATTTTTTTTAGAAGTTCATGTAGCACCAAACCCAAAATAAAAGGCATCGGGCAAGCCTTTTATTTTGGGTTTGGTGCTACATGAACTTCTAACAAAAATGTTTTGACAATTTGACTATACAAAAGTGTGCTAGATTGAATCCCGCAATTTAGATGAAGTACATCTTGGTTGATGTACAGTTTTTGATGCTGATAGCTGTAAAACTTGTTTTAGTTTAATTGCAGTTTTTTTAGGTTTCTGTTACTGGCAAAACGCCGCGCCGAGCATGCAGATAACGCAGGCCAGACTAGTTTTAAAACTAAGCAATTTATTTCTAACGCTCAATTCGGAATCGCGACAAAGCAGTTTAGTGACTGGGAGTTTTGATGGCCATGAAAATGTCCGGTGTTTTTTCGTAGCGTCGAAATGATGAATCGAGGCTGAGACCGTGTGCGTGTGCGTGTGTCGTTGGTGGTGGTCCGCGACCGAGTGAACCGTTGGCTGAGGTCCGGGGGCCGGAGTCGGTTGACTCCGCAGATGCTGAAAGGACTCGAGTGCAGCAATTAGCCGAGTGCAGCAGTTGGCGTTTTTAGCTATGTCGGCTGTGTTGAGAAGGTGAGAATCATGGTAACGCTGCCAGTTCCCATGCTGTCGTCGACGATTAGTGATTGGTGAGAACTCTTCCGGCAATGCCCCTGCTTATATGCAGAAGGACTCTACTCTGATTGGCTGCAGAGTGGAGGGAGAGAACATTCCAAAAGCCGTAGTGGCATCCTACCCATGTGGCAACCACAGCAGGGAAAAATTATTTTGACATATTTCAGCGTTTTAAAATTAGTGGATTGACATGGGCTGTAAAAGTTAGTTTAGAATCCAGCCGAACGCTGAGGGAATCCAGTTTATTTCCTCGTCACTTTATAGTCCACACTTGGTTCGACTTTTTGCGAAAAGTATGGCTTCGTTGTACACCTATTTACACTGATTTTTCATCTCGCGAAGTGCACGTTAATCTCTGAACTGCCTTCCTCAGTCGGTTTGCTATGACATTCACTTTCCACGATGTGGTGAGTGCAGTGTCGTCCGCGAATAATTCATCACCTAGAGTGGTAAGTAAGCAGTGTATCAAAATCAGGAATAATGTGGGCCCCCGAACAGAGCCTTGTGGGACTCGAGCAGTCACCGTGCCAACCATTCATTCCACACCTACTGTACTGTGATTCTACATCAAGTGAGGTATGAATCGATTATCATAACAATGTACTGAGGAAAGCCCATGTGTACGTTTTTAATATAAATTACTATTACTACTATTAAAATTATTTTCATTTACAAAAAATTAAACATTTACAAGTGGCTATGAGGGCTTTCGCTTGCGTACATGACGTTTAGTTTATTGTTCATAAAATAAATGGATTTAGATTTCCGTAAAAATAGTGCAATGAAGTCAAGACGTTAGCATGTTTTTATAATGAAATTTAAAATTTGAGCAAAAAGAAGAAAAGACCTTTTTTTAGGAAGAATTCCGTTAATAGTGTTCATTCGCAATTTAAACAATGATAAAAGCTTTTAGCAAGTCCCTCGGGTGATATATAGACGATATTAGGCGAGCCGTGCAGCTAACTAGGATCCTCTGGGCACCGGGTGATTACAATTAATCTCGCAGTAAAGTTCACCCTCGTAAGACACGCACCCACCGACTAGGTTGGAGGGGTAGTAAGTGGATTCGGAGGGGAAAATGCCTTTTCAGAGGGGAAACGTGTGTGTCAAGGAGATAGTGGCTTTGATTTTGTTTGATGTAGACTAAGCCTGAGCCAATCGATAGTCTTTTTTTTTCTCTTAGGCTCTTTCCTTTTCCTCGTTGTCGTCCAGGCCCCCTGACCCCCAAAAAGCCATCCCCTTCCCCACGGGCATGACCCCATTCCAGTCATTCCTCATTCTCGTCTGTGTTCCCCCCGTTTTTTTTCAAAATCTGACGCAAGCATGGTAAAACAAAATGGGTGTAGACAGCCCTCTTGATTGAATTCATTACCGTTCCGCCGGATACTCATGACTGGGCTCAAAAACAAAAATGACGGTAATTTATCTGACGAACGGTAGAAGGGTCATCTGTCCTAGGAAATATAAAAGGGAAAATTTTTCAGGCGTACTGGTTTTCATCTCAGCGATATTTCTTTGTCAACTCTCAAGAATAAAAAAACAAAACATAAAATTTAGGAAAAGAATCACCTCTAAATATGTGACATCTCTTTTTCAAATAGTTTTAATAGTCAAGAAAGGTCATACATCTCTAATTGATATTTATTAATTAGATATCATTGAAGTTGTTTATTTAATTAATAAACAGTAATTACTGTTGTATTACCTTCTATGAATATTATCAACAGGACTATCGCTATAGTAATTGGAACTATTATTCATGAACAATTTATAAAATTAACTTAATTAAACCTAACAATTAAATTGCATAATTAATTTTATTATGAGTTTATTTCTCTTTATTATTACAGTGCTGGAATTGACAGCGCAAAGACGTATATTTACATGTTATATCTAATAAGATTATAAATCTAATCTAATAAGATATTATAATATGCAATAAGAAAACGAAATACAAAAATTAAATTGAATTAAAGATATTCTTACAATATCAACTACCGAATACAATAAAATGCTAACATACCTACTGAGACAAAATAAAAATAAAACTCTCTTCAAAACAGTTATTCCTCTACTCCGACATACCTTTACCTAGTTCTTGGAGGGGTCTAAGATGAGTGAAGGTGTAGAGGGCGCTGTGTATTGCAAGGGTACATCCACTTCATGTCAGCTCCCGCACTGAAGTGTTTATGCGGCTGATTTGTATGCGTACACGCGCTTGAGGTGATTCGATACGGTGGTGGCTCTGGTTACCACACCTGCACCCACACTTTCCATCGCGGTAACTACTGCCGGTGACGACTTTCCCTTTGTGATCTTGTTTGAGAAATACCATGAATGGAGCGTCCAGGTGAAACGGTGGTTGTTGTTTAGGTAACGGACACATAGGACTGCAGGGTAACGAAAAGGAGGACGAGGCAACATCCGGACATAACTGCTCTGACGCTAAAAATGCAATAAAAAGCAAGATTAATAAAAGATGGCAGCTTCGGTGAGCCGGATCGGCATACAAGCTCTCGCGAGCCAAGAACACTGCCGATAGATGACCCTCGGAGAATCTGACTATGAGAGGGTTATCCTCATCCGATTAAGAACATTAATTTTTTGATAGTGTCCATCCTAATTTTGAGAAAATTCATAATAATTAGGTAGGATATAAATTGTCTTTTCCGCGAAAGAAACAGTTTCCCTCAGCCTCTGATGAAGTCGTAGGAAGGTGCAATTTGATGGAACGTCTCAAGAGCTTGGTATTCTCTCTTTGC